TTGTGACAAGTTAGGACATTTCAAGAGAGACTGTAATGACCTTAAGAAGAAACAGAGACCACGCACAATGATGATCTGAACTTAGTTGTTGTAGGTGATTTCCTTGATTGTCTACATGTTATGATTGTGTCAGGAGATTTTGACATTGATATAGATTGTGCTCGTGATAATATACATGTCATGAATGTTTCTAATATTGATTTTGACACTGAGTGGGTTTTAGACTCAGATGCCATTATTCACATGTATCCTGTTAAATTTTAGTTCTATAACTACAGAGATGTGAATCCTGGAAAAGTATACTTTGTAGATGATCGTATACGCAATGTAGAAGGAGTAGGTGATATTGTTGTCAGCATGCATGATGGCATTATCAAACCCCTTAGAGGTGTTAGGCATGTCCAGGGCCTAGCAAGGAATCTTATTTTCTTAGGCACTCTAGAAGAAAAAGGTCATGAGTTAAGATCTCATGATGGTATTTTAATGATTTGCAAAGGATCTCTAGTGGTTATAAAAGGTCCAAAGAGGAATGGGTTATATGTCCTTCAAGGTAAAGCCTTAAATAAAAAAGAGTCAGCATTATCTTTAGTTTGTGAAGATAGATCAGACCTTTGACAGAAGAGGATGGGACACATTGGGAACAAAGGGTTAGAATATCTTAGTGACTAAAATTTACTTGGTAAAGATAGTGTTACACCTTTAAGTTTTTGAGAGACGTGTTCTAGGAATGTCACACAAGGTTAGCTTTGGGATAAGAGAACACAGCACTAAGAGACCATTGGACTACAATCATGCAGATTTGTAGGGTCCTAAAAAACATCCCACACACGGAGAAAATAGATTTTTTTTGTCCATTATTGATGACCACTGGAGGAAAGTTTGGGTGTATCTCCTTAAATCCAAATCTGAAACTTTTAGTAAGTTTAATTCTTAGCTTGCCTTAGTTGAAAATCAAATAGGAAAGGGTGTGAAAACTCTTAGGACGGACAAAGGTTTAGAGTTTTGCAACTTCGAATTTGATAGTTTTTGCAAAGGAAAGGATATAATGAGGCACAGGATTGTAAGACATACCCTTCAACAAAATGGGGTGATATAGAGGATGAATCGGACTTTAATGGATAAAGTCAGATGTATGATGATTAGTTCTAGGTTGTCTAAAGGTTTCTGGGGTGAAGCCCTGTGTACCACTACCTATTTGATAAATAGTTCACCTTCTAGTTCTGTTAACTTCAAGACTCCTTAAGAGTTATGGTCCGGAAAAACCCAAAATTGTCACACATTAGAGTGTTTGGTTGTGTGGCTTATGCACATCAGGCATAGGGCCAATTGGACTCTAGGGCTACTAAGTGTCTCATGTTTGGTTATCTAGAGGGAGTGAAAGGATATAGACTATGGGTTTTAGGTGTCAAGGGCATTAAGATTATTAATAGTAGAGATGTAAAGTTCAATGAACTTGATATGCCTTATCTTAAAAATATAGTAAGTCAGAACAAACAGATTGAGGAAGGAGAATCTTCTACTGAAAAAAAAAAAAAAAAAAGATGTAGTTTGAGGTGAAGAGATTAAGTGATAATTCAGATGATAGTGAAATACAAACTCAAGAAGAATCTAATCAAGAAGCAGTAATAAAACAATCTAAACTTGAAATTTCCGAAACTTTTGTCCCTAATCAAGAAACATCTGCAGGTACTAATTTGGATGATTACCAATTAGTGAGGGATAGGGAGAAAAGACAAATGAAGCCCAATTCAAAATACATCTCTTCAAATTTGATAGATTTTGTCCTAGTTTCAAGTGAAGCCTTAGAGTCAATTGAACCGGCTTCATTTGAATAAACGGTTAACTAAAAAAATTCTGAAAGTTGGAAAAAGCCTTAGAGTCCACTTTAAATGGATCGACAAGTTAAAAGAAGAAGTAGGACCTAAAGACCCTTTAACTTATAAAGGTAGGTTGGTTACGAAGGGATTTACTCAGAAAGAGGGGATAGAGCATCATAAGGCTTTCTCACCGATTATTACCGATTATTAAGTATAAAACTATCGGGTTAGTCTTAGCCTTAGTTGTCCAGTATGATTGGGAGTTGGAGCAATTAGATGTTAAGACGACTTTTCTTCATGGGAAGTTGGATGAATTGATTTACATATTTCAACCTCAAGGGTTCGAGGTTAAGGGAAAATCAGAACTTGTTTGCTTCATTAGAAAGTCATTTTATGGCCTTAAGCAGAGTTATAGGCAATGGTATAGAAGATTTGATGCTTTTATGTTTAAGATTGGTATTAAAAGGAGTGAATTTGATGCATGTCTATATTTTAATAATTCTAATATAGGTTGTGAAGTTTACTTTTTGTTATATGTGGATGACATGTTACTTGCTAGCCTTAATAAAGTTGAAATCATAAAGATGAAAAATATTTTAAAATCTGAATTTGATATGAAAGACTTATGAGAAGCAAGAAAAATCCTTGGCACGATTATTAAAAGGAATAGGACTGATTAATGATGGCAAGGCTCAGCCCTTTAACCCACGAGCTCAACTCAGGCACGTGGCGAGCCGAGCTCGGCTCGTTGCTCGGAGATCGGCCCCCGAGCTTGTGGCTCGCGAGCCAAGCCCACGAGCCTTCGCAAGCTCGTGGCTTTTTAAAATTTTTTTTTTAATTTGCACATTTTTTTACCTTTTTTTTAAAAAAAAATTTTCATATTTTTTTACGAGCCCACGGCTCGTCAAAATGGCCACGAGCCGCTCTTTGTGGGATTGAGCCTCCTGCTCTGCTCGGCTCGGGCTCGTCAGCACACGAGCCGGGTTTTAACGAGCCGAGCTGACGAGCCGCTCAGCCTGTTTAACATCCCTAGGGCTGATAATAGGATGACTATTAATCAAGAGTCTTATTTGGATAAAGTGGTAACCATTTAGTATGAAATTTGTGAAGTCTGTCAATATACCATTAATTGTACACATGAATTTATCATCTTCACAATACCCTAAAACTGAAGAAGAAATGCATGAAATGAGTAATGTTCCCTATGCTAATGCCATTGGGTCTCTGATGTATTCTATGATTACCACAAGACCGGACCTTGCATGCGCAATTAGTTTCCTGAGTAGGTTTATGTCTAATCCAGGTAAATCACATTGGACTGCACTTAAATGGCTTTTAAGATACCTAGCTAGATCTTTGAAAAGGGGATTAGTGTTTGAAATGAGAAGTAAAAAATTAGAGCTTAAAGGATATGTAAATTATAACTTTGCGGGGGATAAAGATTAGAGGAAATCTATCAATTTTTACTTCTTCACTTTAGGTGATAATTGTATCAGTTGGAAATCACAGTTGCAATATATAGTTACACTTCCAATACTAAAGCATAATATTTTGCATTAACTGAAGCTGTAAAGGAATGCATGTGGCTAAAAGACCTTTTATGTGAATTAAATTTCCTGAATGATAATGCTATGATTTTTACTGATAGTCAAAATTCATTGATGTTTTGTAAAAATCTTGTTTACCATGAATGTTCTAAACATACTGAGGTGAAGTATCACTTCATTAGGGATAAATTGGTTTCTGGTGATTTTATTTTGCATAAAATTGCAATTGATGATAACCCTGTAGATGTTGGAACAAAAATACTTATGGTTGGTAAGTTCAACAAATGTTTATCACTAATAAGTATCAATAATGATTAATTGTTGTGTATGTACTGACCTGGAGTGAGCGATGATGATAAAAATAAGACCACACAAATGGATATCACTTATATCGAGGAATTTGGTTATGAATGTTATGTTATCCAATGTGAAGATTTGTGAGGTGGATCATTCCATCTACATGCTACAAGTCAATTTAATATTGTGGTAAATTCTCTTATGCTAGTCTTGTCACACTCATAATTGATCATAGTACAACATTTGAATTTTGAATTCAAATGGATTTGACTCTATAATTACAAGACTTCTTCATTTCTTTCATTTGGACTTGGCGTAACAATAGAGAGAAATGATAGAGAGGTAACCAAGTGGAAGCGTTCCATATCTCCGGCGAAATTCTTGGTGGCTTTTGGCGGATCTTATCTCAATATATCTATTGTCATTTTCGCGGACGACGATGTATGATTTGGTGTGGCACGAATCCGAGCTCAACATCATAGGATACTCCATTGTTAGTGTTGAAGCTTTGGATCAACCAATTTTATACTTTAAGAGTTTATGTTTCTGCATTATAGTTGTAATAATTACTTGTACACTGCATTTAAACTCTACGTATATAATTACATCAATTGGAACCATTTCTACAAAAATGCCTACTTAGCATGTCAACTGGTGCTCTATGGCTAAAGTTCCCTATAATTGAAATTAGCCTGCCGGTATTAATTATCATGAGATTATTTCAACTTTTGAGTAGGACAAAGTAGATGACTTTTAAAAAAAAAACGAAAAATTGTAACGAAAACAACATCGTTGCACTTTTTGTTTTAATTTCAACTCACAAAAAGTTATCAAAAGAATCATATAAAAACGCACTATTTATCTATCAATTATATTTTAAAAGAAAATTCATATTAATATATTATTGAACATATACATGTCATTTCAACATATTTGCAACTGGAAGTATTTCGGGAATAAATGTTACCGTTTAAAAGATTGTTATTGATAGGTCATTTAATACAAGTTTAATAAAAATGACCTTTGCCTGTTTTCAGTTTTAGCTATTTTTTTCTTGTGGAAACTCTCTAAATCTATAATCCCATCCCTTGAGTCTCCACCAGCTCGATTTCATGATCAAGTTGTTCGAGTGCTTATCTCGTTTTTTGAAGTGTCTTGATCATCTTATGCACATTTTTTGTGAAATGCCATTTGTCAATGTTTTTCCTGCACAACTATGATGTATATTTTCTACCTACAGATTGTCTTCATTTTAAGTATCAATTCTCAACGATGAGCAAATGAGTTCTATTTTGCAAGATAAAACCAGAAGGATGACCAAATATTTTCCGAGCCAAAATGCTAATGCACATTCATAAATTGAATCCACAAAGTCTAACAAGATAACCAGTTCTCTATCCATTGTTAACAAGAAATTAACAAAACACATTATACAAGGCATTGGTTTCAATTATATGATGGGGTGACAATCAACTTATTTCTTGAAATCAAAGCCAACTACCAAAGCAAAGGAATCATTTACCCGATTAACATGGCAAAGGATTGTCTGTTTGCCAGGTAATTTTCTTTAGATTAATATTTTTATTCAACATTCTAATATTTGTCTCTAACATGATCACCATTCCACGAAAAATTCATTTCTTAATCGTCATTATATTTGCCTCCTAGTTTCAGTGAACTTTGTGAGAAATAATTTAAAGCATATTCTCTCTATCGTGCTTCCAGCTGTGTAATCGTGATTTCATTGGTTGAACTGGCTTCATTCCTGCTAGTTGTACCTTCATCTACAAATGCATCACCTTCTGTGAAAAAACCAGGCTGATTTGCCTTGGGCAATTTACCCTCATTGCTCAACAATGCAACCACTGTAGTCATGCATGGCCTATCATCTGGACGTTTTTGCACACATAACAAACCGACATGGATCAATCTTTGCACCTCAGATAGATTAGCCGAGTCACATATATAAGCGTCATCTAGTTCCAATGACTTTCCATCTTTATAGAGTGTCCAAGCCTGCATAAAGAAAATCATATTAATGGACCTCGCCAAAAGGGTTAGTTTTGGATACAATATTGACACGTAAATATATTGAAGGCACAACAATTACATGTCCAAGAAGATCGAGATGCTGATTTCCCTTAGAAAATCCACTATTTCTCTTCCCACTCACAATTTCTAGCAGTAGAACGCCAAAGCTAAATACATCTGATTTTATTGAGTATCGACCATGCACTGCATATTCTGGTGACATATAACCACTACATGAAAATATTAGCCAAAACATGAGGTACAAGCAATAGATAAGCATTTGTTTTGTCGTGTTGACGAGAATCTTACTAAGTTCCAACCACTCGGTTTGTCTTATCTTCGGTTTCATTCCCTCGAAAACTTCTAGCAATGCCAAAATCTGATATCTTAGGATTCATGTCAGTATCTAGCAGTATGTTGCTTGCTTTGAGATCTCTGTGGATAATTCTCAACCGGGAATCTTGATGAAGATACATAATTCCTCTGGCAATTCCATTAACAATTTGGAAGCGCTTTTCCCAATCAAGTAATTTACTTTTTGTTTGATCTGTCAAAGTTGTTCACGTCAGTTCACCTTGTGCAGTTTTTGGATAAACCTCAAAAATCAATTCCGAAACTTATTATCGACTATATTCAGGAAAACTATATAATGGAGCTGTTTACTTAACGATTGGACAATGCTTTCCCATATCTACAAAATCAATTAGGAAATTTCATTTCCAGACCAGCATTGATTTGCAGTTCTCTGCATGTTTATTTAGCTACTACTGACCACAATGTTCAAACAATCTCATAAAAAAACGTAGGAATTCATTATGGAAATAAATTAGACTAACACTCAGATCCACAGTTCTTTTGAGCAGACTGTTGGAGAGCCAGAAATTCTTACCAAATAGAAATAAGTCTAGGCTTTTGTTTGGCATGTATTCATAAATCAACATGATTTCTTCTCCTTGAATGCAGCACCCTAGAAGTCTCACGAGATTTCGATGCTGAAGTTTGGCGATACAGATAACTTCATTTTTGAATTCATCAAGTCCTTGCATGGAAGTTTTTGACAACCTTTTCACCGCAATGTCTTGTCCCTCTTCCAGCATTCCCTAAGATTAGAACTTGTTCATATGAAAATCTATTCATTTAATGAACTTAAAGTAGCAATAGATTTCATTTTGCTTAGATTCATCTGTACTAAGTTAAAATGCCTATTGGGCTGACGCTGAATATCATGTGAATTGAATATGAGTCCACCTCTTGAAACAAAAAGCGAATATTTGAGCATTACCACAATATATGTATGAAGATTAATTTGCACAAGTCAAAATGTTTTATCATCTTCTGAAAAATTCTAGAAAAATTCTGTAATAGGCAAAACTTCCTTTTTTCCCCACTCTGCATTTTCAAAGTTAAGCTTATGGAGGAAGTCTAATTTTCTGAATACACATGATTTACACGTTGTTTGAAAGAAGAAAGAAACAACTCTACCCATCCGGTGAATGATGCCTGTGGCTTGAGGGTTATCCTCTGTTTTGAAATTTCATCTTCTTCACAAGATCTTAGTCTTAAGCATCTCAGATTACAAAATTAAGTAGTTATATCATTCGTCTAGAAATCTAGCATTTTGTCACAGTTTAATGAGTGAAAAACATGAGGATTTTATAAGTGACATAATTACATAATTAGCCCATGTTTGTCTACCATTATTTCAAAACTCTTTTTTCTCAAACTCATTTTCAACCACACATTCTCACAATAAAATATTTTCCACGTAAACCCAAAATTTTTTCCTACTTTTTAACCACACATTCTCTAAAAATTCACTATACAAAACCTCATTTTCCCTTCATAATGGTAGACAAACATGGGCTTAACCAAGTTGTTTAGTTAATGGTATTAGCCTAATTTTCTCTCACAAATTCCTGTAAAATACGTACATCTGTGTACACTTACCTTATAAACAGGTCCAAATCCACCCTCTCCAAGCTTGTTATCGATTGAAAAGTTATTGGTAGCTTTCGAGATTGTATATAAGCCAAACAACGGGAGATCCAAGTCTTTTTCATGACTTTCACTATGAGTTCCTGCAGTGAAAGTGATGTGGAGGATATATTAACAGAGAGAAGGGAGGATTTATTAACAGAGAGAAGGTGTTCCCTGCGGGATGTGTTGCATGTTTATTAACAGGTATGTATGCATGTATTTGTTATTTCCATGTTCTAAGTAGTATTTGTTCGTTTTCCTTCAGAAATGACAGAGGCTCCTTACCACCTATTTTCCCCGTTGGCTCATTCTTCTTCATCTTGGACCTCTTCCAAAAGTACAGCATCAAACTCAGGCCAAGAATAACCACTCCAATCGATGATGTCAATGTTGCTACGAGTATGTTTCTCTTTCCTTTCGAATCTGCAACGAATTCAATACAAAAAAATTGAGTCTTTCATTGCCTCCTTTTCCTTTGTTTCTACTCTTCATTATCACAATTGCCTTTACATTTATATAAATAATTCTTCCTTAAAATTTTGAACTTTTTGTATGAGCATTGTTTCTTGTATCATATGATGTCAAACAGAAGATAAACATGGTATCTACTATGTTCCTGAAAACACTTGCAGCAATGTCTTTGTTTAGTGCCTGAATTATAGATTGATTGATTGCACATTCTTACCTCGCTCGGAAGAAGNCAGTTGGATCCAGGTAAAATGTAAGATCTCCTGGAGCCGGATCCTCATTGCTCGTCCATGATGACAAATAGTTCTGTACACCTCTTGCAGCATTCCAACCGAAGTTCATGCCTGGTAGGTAAGTGTCACTTAAATAATCAAAACTCTGCCAAAGGAAATTCTCCAGATTATCATCATTTGCTTCTCGAAGAACAAGATTTCCCGAGTCCAGCAATTGCAAAATTGGAGTTCGAGCAATTCTTGATGTATTTGAAGACCACAAGAGGTTGTTAGTGTCATTCACAAGAACCAAGTGGCCTAGCTCATTGAACTTTAGTATACCTGATCTACTATTTAGCGGAATTTCTCTGTTGAGGACCCAAACTGCTGTTATGCTAGGCATCTCCTCCTTATACCAAATTCCCACGTACCGATTCTTGGAGTCACCTGGTCTGAAAAATCCAAGTTCGAAGGTTCCTCCTGATGAAACCAGGGTATCTCCATCTTTGAGGCTCTGAGTTGTGCTAATGGTATCAATTGCAGGCGAAATCTTTAGGATGGACAGTATGGATGTTAGGAGAAAAAGAAAGGATATATCTTTAATCGATTTCTCCATGGTTCATCTCTGTGTTTTGCTTTAACTTTGGATCTTCAGCATTAATTACAGAGGCTTCGAATGGGAAGAAACAAGATTCCTATCCCTTCGTTATACTGAGATTTGAGAATTTCTAAATTGTTGGCCCACTTTTGGAATTATTGAAAGTCTGAGACCTCGTTTGATTCGTATTATTTCAAAATTTATTTTTTTATAAATTCATTTTCAAATTTCAACTACATATTTTTACAATAAAATATTTTACTTTTACAAGTAAATTTAAAACTTTCTATTACATTTTTTGTGTTATCAATCGATGAGTGGGGGACGGGAGTGACGATGGCAAGAAAGCCTCTTCTCAAATGGCAGGTCCGAAAACTAGTGCAATTCGATATTTTGCTTTTGTATTGACTTTTAATCACCCTAAAATTTGGCACATATTGATAGTTTGAAATATTTAAGTATCTAGCTAAGTTAATTATATTATTCTTTGAAACGTAAATATTTTTGAAAATTCAAAATCTTTTAAAAGAAATGATTCAAAAAAATATTCATGAGATTTGGGTTGTGACATGCTTTTTCAACTTAGAAATATTTTTAGAGAAAATTGGCATATATAAAAATTTTCTTAAGAACCTCTTTTATAAAAGTCGAAATTCTTATGAAAAGGAAAATGAAAAAAGCTAGTCCAAAATAAATTCCTTCTACGTTACAAATGTCGTCGATGAACTCACTCAAGTGCACGCCTCTTACGAAAACGAAAATAAAGAAAGTTAGTCCAACAAAGATAATTCCTTTGACATTACAGAAGTTGACTAAGCACTCCGGTCAATTTACGCTATGAACAATTATAACTTTTTCTACATTGATTGATGAAACGAAAATAGAAAGGAAAAAAGAGTGAAAAGACTAGGAAGCAATGAGATATTCGCCCATTATTGGGGGCAAAAGAATTGGCCTCCACAAGCTAAAAAGACAATTATACCCCTACGAAAGTCGAGATCAAGAACCGTCATTGTGAACTGACAATTTTGCCCTCAGAACAAGTCCACCAGCTGCCACCCTAGGGTTGCACATAAAAATCGCGAAACCGCAAATAGAACTGAAACCATTGAATTAAAATCGTTAATTTAGATCTATGTGTATCCGTATTTTTTTCCCCTCAAACTAAACCAAACCATTTCAAAATGATTTGTTTTAGATTTTGATTTTCAAAAACCACACAAAATCAAACAAAACCGTTACAAAATTTTTTAGTTAAAACATTAATTTTATTAACTTAAAAATTTTACAGTTTTCACTTTTCAGAAAAATATCAATTTAGCAAACAAATTACAACCAACCTATTGAAATGATCATAGAAAATAAATTAAGTTCAACATTATTGGCCTATTGTTTAACAAATTCACAACACGTCTTCACCCGATATCCGAACCTAAATTTATTCCAAAATCATATGAAATGAAAAAAAATAATAAATAAATAAATAAAACATATATTTTCAACAATCTAAATCATAATTTAACAAAACCATGGCAGCAAATCACATCCAAAGTTTCAGAAGCCCTAACATAAATTCTCATTTTCCTAACATTTGATGATTGTCTATTACTGCTGAACGAATCGCGAATCGCCTATGCCTATTAGTCTACTAATTTCTAGCTGAATCGCCTAATTCTCTTTTCTCTTTGGTAAGTCTCAGATCCTCATTCAAACCATTTTTTCATTGTTCTTTTTTTATTTGTTGTTTTTGAACTTATTATACACTTGTGAATTATGATTTGAATAGAAAAATAACTATTTGTGTGCCTAGATGATTAATGAACTTGTTTGTGATTTGAAAAGAACGAAAGACGGATCGTATTGATTGTGTGAAAATGTGAAAGTTCTCTAACTAGTACTACCACCTACTACTTTCATAAAGTAGTTAGAGAACAAAATTCGTCTATTCTCAATAAGCCGAAACTATTCAATTCTTATTTAACATTTCACTAGTAAGACAAAAAAGGTTCTAACCAAACTGTAATACTAAAATGTAACTCTATCTTTATCAACCGCTATATGACAATATGAATGTCAAACAAGAAAAAATGTAAATAAAAAGGAAGAAAGATGCATTTGTTCTATTAACATCTTTTAGCAACCAATTTTGAAAATAATTTGTTCACGTGTTTCAAAGTAAATATGAATGTAATTTAGCATTTAATATTATTAGTTTTCATTTAAACTTATATGCTAACTTATGTTATATATATTACTACAATGTTGATAAGTAAAACACGAATTAAAACCGAACCAAACCGCAAATTATTGTTTGGTTCAAAAAATAAAATGATTTGATTTGATTTGAAAAAATTTCAATTCGCATAACATAGTTCGAGTTGAAAATATGGTACAAACTACCCAAATCGAATCACGTTCACCCCTATGCAGCCACCTAGAAGCCGTGGGGCAACTTCTTCTTCATTTAAATTAAAACCAAGCCTGGCATCCGTAGTGTGAGAGTTCAATTCCTGAGATATGGAATTTGACTCTTTGTGGGCTCCATTGTACAGGCAAACTCTTATTCCCTGACCTGCTAAGGCACATCCCACGATTCACCTCCCTCATGATGCTCCAGGGGAGGGCGGTTGGGGTCCTCAAGGTTGGGTTCACCTTTTAGATTAAAACCAAGCC